CTTATTCATCCTGGACGAGTTTGTATTACTTAAACGAGCCCAAAACGTAAATATAGATTTCCATTGGCGAACAACGGGTGGTTGCCAGGCCATGTCACCTGCAAGTGCCGCGTAAGGTGTATATTTACCAACACCCAAAAAGAAACTCAAGGCTTTATTATGTGGACGGCATTAACACATGAGAAAGACCGGTCACCCCAAACCGCTGCACCGTAGTTTATCACGGGCCACACAATGGAATCATAAAGTTTGGTGTAGAAAGCGTATGGAACGCCTCCTATACTTTTGCATTTCGCTGTAACAAGACCTAGGGCTCTTCCTGCACTTTGAGCTACATGTTTAGCAGTTATATTAAAGTCCACGTGTTCAGTTAAAATTAGACCTTAATATTTATATCTATCAACAATTTCAAATATATCGTTGCCACAAGTAAAAATTGTATTACATCTAGTAATTGCGACATGTCTAAAATGTACAACTTTGCTTTTTTCACAATTAATAGTCATATCATTTACAGAGCACCAGTCTTTATAAGAGCATTTAACAGACACTGTAAATCATTTGAGTTCTCAGCAAGCAACACAATGTCGTCAGCATATAATAAAATACACAATTTTTCACTTTCAATATCAATTCCTACATTGAATGATTTCAAATATGTAATCAAATCATTGATGTATAAGTTAAAAAGCAGAGGCGAAAGAATACAACCCTGACGGAGACCGGTTCGAACCTCGAACCAGTCAGTGTTCAGTGAGTTTACTCGTACTGATGACGAAACAAATGAATATAGAGAGCTTATAGCTCGGTGCATTTTACCAGAAATACCCGACTCTTGAAGACGCATCCAGAGCATGTCTCTATTGATAAAATCGTAAGCTTTTTTGAAATCTATAAAGGCTGTAAATGTTGACAATTTATGTTTGATTCTTGTTTCAACAATACTAGAAAGAGATGAAATGTGATCAAGTGTACTACGTTTTCTTCTAAAGCCATTTTGTTCGTCATGTAAATTATTGTTATCTTCAGCCCATGAACTAAGACGACTGTTAAGAATAGAACAGTAAAGTTTGTACATGGCTGGTGATACCTCTATATGAAAGTGGGTCTCTCGGATCAGCTGTGGACGATTTTGGGATAGGGTTTATAATAGTCATATGCAAAACCCAGACCACAACCTCATGAATCATGATCAAAATCATACCTTTAGATTTTTTAGATTAAAGGTCAACATTGTCTTAAGGAGTGTAAAATTCGTGTCCGGACCACAATTTTTTATCCATCGGTGCATGGACTTAGGAGTAACTTGGCACAAATGTTTAATAACCATAATAATACGTTTCATGAGCAAAACCCAGACTCCAACCTCCAAGGTTAAGGTCACACTTAGAAGTCAATACCTAACATGTTTTGTTATAGGGCCAGTTTTGTATCATGTCCACAACTTTTCAATTCGTCAAAAGATTTTGAAATAAGTTTTCACAAATATTCACTGTAAGACGGTATATGTGCATGCGCAGCTTCCAGACCCCATCAGCCAAAGTTAAGTTCGCACATAGAGAGCTTAACATTGTCTGTATTTTCCTTGCCCTAAAAGTATTAAAGAGAATCGAGTGAAACTTAAAAAATAAGAGGGAGTGCACATAAATCGATATTATATAAATCATTTTATCTCCCCTTAAGTACTTATTTTCAGTGGTATTTCCTGTATACACAGGAGTTATTTCATAATATTTCTATAACCAATTTATTGTTGTATGTGCAGCTCTAGTATTTATGAAGATTATGTAATGAAAGTCCTGATCCATACCTCAAACTTGAAATAATAGTATTGTGTGGTTCACTTAGGCTAGGGACATCGATTACTCTGTTACAAGTTCTTTTTAACTCATCTTTCTTAATAGTACTAAACTGTGTTGACATTATCATTGCTTATTATTTTCATTTCAGTTCACTTAAAGCCTTTAAACTCTAGATGCTAAATATAATTGCTATAGTAACTGATTGATTTTGTCATGTACAGCTTTTGACGTGTCAGGTAACGCGACATACGGTGACTCTGGCGTGTTTTTCACTTTTTGCAAAGTTGCCACTAAAATATCGATGTATTGCAAATTTGTGTCAAAAACATAGTAACCTTGTTTACGTCTCTTATTCACCTTATTGTCACCATGGAAGACAAAGATCACACTTTTTCTAAAGCATAACAAAAGGCGACTTTCATATTTTTCGCGGTGTCGGAACACATTGTGTTGTAGAAATCTCTCTGACCTACAAGTGGTCAAGGTAAACTTATTCTCTGCTAAATTGCCGTCCTCATAGAGAGTTCTTTCACCAGCTGACTGACAGAAGTGTGCTGGTTCACCCGGGTGAACCAGGGTCACCAGGGTTCTGCCTGATTTCCCGCGCGTGTCATGTCAAACTACAGGTGGAGTTGACCTAAAAAATTAATGATCAGAACAAACAACTGAATTGAAACACTTTATAGAAGAAACATATCACGAATTCAGATTGGGACAACAGCACGATATCATTTTTTTTGTCTTTCGCTTTTCCTTTTTTTCAAATCTTACGTTTCAATGTATCATTGTTTTCGTATTATTTTCTATTTTCCAACTGAATACATTTAAAGATCCTGTAACACAAATTTTTTTATGGTTTTATATCATAAATATGATGCTCAAATTAAGATTTATCAATTTTGTAAGTTCCAAAAAGCATTATTTATAAAGATATTACCGAATTTAACATTTCATGTAAATAAAGGGAGGTAATAAAAAATTTATTTTCTATAAAGTCTAAGTCAAATTTTTCAATAAGAAATGAATGCATATATTTTAATGATTACATATAATATGTACAAATATTTGCAGTACATATTTTACATATTCTTCGATGTTTGAAAATTGTTTTATAAGCATAATTATATACATATATATAATTATATATCCGTGGCCGAGTGGTTAAGGTCGCTGACTTGAGATCACAGGTCCCTCACCGCTGTAGGTTCGATCCTCACTCGGGTCGAAATCTTTCATGTGAGGAAGTCATCCAGCTGGCTTACGGAAGGTCGGTGGTTCTACCCAGGTGCCCGCTCGTGCCTGAAATAATACCCAGAGGGGCACCACCAATAAAAGCTGGAGAAAATCTCGGCGGGACGATCTAGGATGGCTTCACCATCGTACTGTCATGCTTCACCATCGTACTGTCGTAGTGTCACCATAGTATTGTCGAGCTTCACCATCATACTGTCGCGCTTCACCATCGCACTGTCGTACTGTCACATCGTACTGTCATGCTTCGCGTTTTACATTCTCAGTGAGAACGCGCTGGACCTAACGGAACACCGTATATAAGGCCTCGCTATTACAAACTTTCGTGTCAAATTTAATTTTACTAACAGACAAAAATATTAAAATCATATACGGTACAACAAAAGTGTTGCGGTATAAATTCTTGCACAAATGATATTATCACAGTAATGATCATGAGTTGTAAGTAGTTGTCGTCAGGTCATCAACTTTTAATAAAAAAAAGGTCATTAAGTATATTTAAATGATAAATGTACTTGTATGTTTGTATGATGACAAAGCTGCGGTTAGATGCTAGATCTTTTTCAATTAATATAAAATTTCCTAAGAAATAATATGTAAAAGATAAATAATTATATACAAGTAACAAGTTTGATAAAAAATCATTTTAATAACAAATAATGGAAAAAATATGTAACAATAGTGTTTAATATTAAAATTAATTGAACAATATAACCATGACAATTACGTTCCAGCAATTTCATCTTAATATTAAGTCAGATTATTGAGTTTTAATTGCCTTCCACTAGACGGCAGCACGGACTACAAGACTTGCTAATTATACCAGTAGACTTAGCACTAATCAATAACATGACTCATCGTTCAATGTCGTCTGCGACAACCGTCTAATTGTTTCCCTGATTTTCTTACAGAGATATTTTATTTAGAGCTAGCATGAGTGAGTCTTTTTTCACAGAAACTCGTGTTTCTATACAACAATGTTACAACTATAATAGTAACTTAAGACTACTACTATAGTATTACAATGTCTTGTAGTAAATCTTGCAATATGACGAGGATCTGGCACTTAACGCTTAACCAAATTTCTAAAATAGTCATCCCTTAAAAGACACTGTTTCTGAAGGTCTTAACTACAACAACATATATTTTCTTGGTCACATCAGCGGAATCTACGAATGTTTAATTAAACCACAATCCCCTTTAGCCAACACCCCGGCTGCGGATGGTGTTTAATACGGCGAAGATCTAGTCACTGATATTTAAGAGACTATAAGCATCTTAAGCATTTTAATAGAGGTTTTTCATGGCACACTTTTACAGGGGTAGCCATTAATTTGCTAAATATTAGCAATGCATTGAATTACTTTTGATAAAGGAAATTATCAGAATATAAAATAAAATTAAACCCGATCGTCAAATAAATTGACCACTTCCCCATTGAATGATGTTATAAAATGGGGCAGCCTAACGTATTCATAAATTAAAACGTAAACAAACATGATGTGACAATATAGGACATTTAAACTTATGACCATAAAAACAATATCAACGTATTTACACTACATTATTATTTAAAGGTTACATTGTACGTTTTTGAAAGTTGATTGTTCTTAAAATAAATCACATACCCTTTAATTAGGGTCTCTATTAAATAAGCCATTTAAAAATAAAATTAATGTATCTTTAGTATGTAGTAGCCAATTATCATAATTACATGAATTATATTTCATTTTTAAGTATTAATTCAATTAACAATTATGAAAACTGCAAAACATAGTGAAATCATTCATAGATCTACATACATGTAGAGCTTTATAATTCTAACATAATTTACTGCTCTAGAAGATCTAAATGATTTTAATTTTCTCCTTCATTCTTTTTTACACGGAGAAAATTTGGGAAGATCGCATGCTTGTGTTTACAATTCGATAAAGCCTCGAATACGTGAAAGATACGCCGCTGAATCACGTGATACAAGAGAAAAGGCGGTGCTATTGGATTTTCATTTATATTAGTCCTTATGTAAATTAACCGGTGTAACGGCGTGTTTAATGTTTATTTTTTACTAACTCTTGTATGAATAAAAAAGGATCTACTATACTTTCGTTTTCGTTAGTGCGATGAAAAGGTGTACACATAACAATGAGTTTCGATATATTTGATTTTGTCACAGACGTTCTTAATATTAACATATCCGCCATTAGTGACCTGGCTTTGTATAAAACATCTTCCGAATCATCATCTGGGAATATCAACATCAGCCGCGCCGTTGCACCGGATGGTCGGCGAGTCCTACAAGGAATCTGGGATCTCCGACTTGGCAGGGAAGAATTCTTTTCGTCACCACTTTTTCCTGTAATTCTTTCGGTAACTTTTTATTTCTCTTTGTGTACACCTTTCATGATATGCGACCTGTACGGTAAAAATTGGAATTGGATACAAAAGTACAAAATCCAACCGGACTTCAATGTGACAACAGCACATTGCTTTGACGCTCTAAGTGTAACATTTTGGAACCATGTGTTGTTTATTTTGCCAGCGGCTTGTGCTCAATGGGTATGGACACCCCCAACCCCAATGCCAGAACTTGCACCAACTTTGCTCGAGTTCTTTTGGCATCAATTTGCTGGCTTGCTGATCTTCGACTTCCAGTATTTTGTATGGCACTGGACTCATCACAAGATTCGCTTCCTATATAAGCACGTACACGCAATTCATCATCGATATCACGCCCCTTTTAGCTGGGTGACGCAGTACCTTCATCCATGGGAGCTGATCACAGTTGGGTTCCTTACAACAACGAATACTTGGTTTTTCGACTGCCACCCACTGACAACATGGAGTTATATGATGGTCTCTATTATAGCCAGCGTAGAGGCCCATATTGGATTCGACTTTCCATTCGCATTGAACTACATCACCTTTGGGTTTTTCGGGGGCGCTCCAAAGCATGACATGCATCATTACAAGCCGATGACAAATTTCGAGCCATTTTTTAATCACTTTGACAGGCTCTTTGACACATTCTGTCCCGTAATGAGAGCAGGCGGAATCAAACCGAAGGAACTGCTAGATTATGAGAGGAAACAAAAAGAAATAAAGAAGCTTCGTTAATCATCTTGGTAACGGAAATTAATAACACTAGTACAGTTCATAAGGAAATTTTGGACAAATGGAATTGTGGACAGAAGTCAAATGGAAGGGTTTGGTTTTAGATAGTTTATCGTAATATTTCTTTAAAAAATTTCTGTATTCTTCTCTTGGTCACTGATGGCGTGATTTTTTCCAAAGACCATAAATGCTCTTAATATTGAGGTAAATAATTTAATTAAAAAGAAGAAAAACGATCAAAATATGTCTCAAAACGATTGTTCATTTTTACATTATTTAGTACATGATACCATCTTAACAAGCAGCGCCAACTGTAAGATGTTGCCACACCCTTGAAAGTTATTTAATTTCGGTTTTGAAATACATTTTTATCATTTAAATTGACCAAGGCCTTTCATATTTAACTTCTCACTGATACAGGCATTAAAATGTGAATTATACATAAAACGGTAACATAACAGAAATATTTAGAATATTTGAATAGTCACATGTATTTTGCATAAAATCCTTTTCTGATTTTTGTGACCAGTAACAGAAAATTTATTTAAAGGAACTCCACTGAGGTCCAATAGCCTAAAAAAATAAATTTTGATTTTTTTTTCTGAAATCAACTGGTACATTTAAATTTGAAAGCAAGCAATAGATGGTATATAAATATACACGGTATTAAATTGATAATCGATTTTTATGCGATTTTTGGCCGATTTGAGTGAAAAGCGTTTAAACGGTTTTCATTTATGGGGCCAATTTTCACAATTAAATTGATTATTTCTGGGAAACGAAGTGAGCGAATGATCTGAAATTTTGTACATGAGTTATTGGTCTAGACATACATCTAGTTATACAAAAATCTTGAAAAAATATCTTCGGTCCCTTCACGTCAAAAAACCTCAGTGAAGTCCCTTTAAGCAAATATTGTTTTAGAAATATTTTGTTATAAATATATCAGTTATTTATTTAAGAAATGTACAGATGATTCATTCTATTTTGCTAATGTTTTGACTGTTTTTGACATCAGTAGTCTTTGATCTCTTGTATATTTTTATTTAAATATGTTATGAAGCATTAAAGGGGGAACTTTTCATATGTGCTTACAATATTAACTATGACTTTATGCGGAAGTTTCTAAATTACACCATTACCATGATTAAATATTGAACTCTGCATAAGCCGGTGCTAGGGGGCGTGGACGGTAGTTTGCATTTGACAGTACCGTCCATGGACAGGCTCAATCAAACCGAGCCTGCAACATTTTCAATTTTGCGTATTGGGCTTTCTTAAAGGTATTCTTATTTTCTCTTTTTTTTCATTTTTAATCTTCAATGCAAGAAGTTATACTTATTATTTTATTTGTTGGTTGTTTAACCCAACAAAAATTCAGGAATTTCCTAGACAAGTTTTATTACTTGATGTACAATTGATATTATGTTTTGACAATTATTACTGTCTCTGCTTGTTTTATAGATTTATTAAAGCTAAAACTGTCTGTGCATACCGGCGGGCTTTCAAAGCAGGTTTCCATGTAGGAGTATTAAGTTTAAATCCCCTCTTATAGTACACCATGCCACGAAAATCGGCAAGCCTTAGCTAAAACTTTAAGCCGATTTTATAAGTATGCATTTATCACTTTTTTCACGCGGGGTCTCACCAAGAGCTGCATTTATTGGTAGACACAAATCAAAATACTCACAGCATGGCACCATGTCACGTGACATTAGGTCGTCATTTAAAAGTTGCATATAATCAAACTTGGGCACTAATTCATTTATTTTTTTGTTAACATGTATAGGATAAGTGATGTATAAAACTGTATACTCCACAGCCTGGGATCGAAGAGACCAACTAACCATCTTATTTGCATGCATTTTTAGTTAATTAAGGCATAGATAGTCTTCCGTATTCCCGTTTTTTACCAATATAATTAAGTTTCATTTTTTAGCTTTTCCATACTATTCATTAAACATCTTAAGTATAAATTATTATGAAAAAAGTTGTAGAAAAAAAAACAAATCAAGTGATATATGACATCACATATACATGTAGAAACATTTTTATCGGCATATTGAATATTGATATTTTGTAATTGTTAGCTCGACTATTCGAGTAAGTGCCGCTGCACCCTTTGGTTCAGCTTTGCGTGCAATTTTTCTCTCTTTTCCAAACTATTAAAGGGGGTGGTTTTGATACTTCAAGTACTTGTTATCTATGATGGGCACAGGTCTCATAACTCTGAGTTACCTTTTCACAGAGTTATGCCTCTTGTCTTTTTGTCAAGCACTGAAAATAGTCGAGCAGCCTATGTCTTCCTTACAACACTTGTTAGTGGGTTTTGGAGAAAATGATACTTTATAACGGAATTTTGATTTTTGAACCCAGTGTACAGTCATGAAACAATTCCAGAACAAAATACGCGTTAGATCTACTCTGTATAAAAGGGATTTTTACATCAATTTCATTTATCTTATTTTCTATTTATTTACATATTTATTTACATATTTGATTATTAACAAATTATACATGACTGTATTATTAATAAATATGACCACACGGAATTTTTTATACCGTACGTGTACGTTTCCGCGTTTTTAGTGTTGTTAAAAGGTGTACCAGTATTTATACATAGTTCACATTATGTAACAAATGTTACCATGCCAATGTAGTTATCATTATGATGTAAACATTACCTGGTTATTGATCTTATTAGAATAATATAACAAGATGTTAAGACTTCACAGCTAATTCTTATGTTACATTATTGATATTTACATTACAAGATGAGCCACCTACCTATCACCTGTATAAATTCGGCAAACTTCGTATTTTTCCGTGCCTGATATTTATCGTTTGGTTTTGATCTTTAAGACGCCTTTTTTATATTTTTCAAAACTTAAGTTTTTCACGATTTTTCACGAACTTGCTCGATTTATAGCCGTAATTGATTATTACAATCATTTACTATACAGTATATTAACAGTTATTTGAACTTCGTCTTTTAACAGTTGCTACATTATTTTTTACTGCCATAATACAGATTATACAACGAATATTTTTGGTCTCATTTATCTTGACATATACGTACATGTACATTTATTGTTAGATTATTTACCTGAGTGTTTAGGTAATTTATTAAGCCTATGTAACTGTTAATATAAATACCTTAAGCCTCTTATCTGAAACCTTGCCTACTTTATCTGGCTTGTATAAATATTGACCATAAATTATACTTAAACATTAAATGTTAGAATGCTGTATAAATTGTATTAGACAACTTAATTAAAACATTCCTCTTGTACATATACTTATGTACATGTATTTGAAAGATTTGATTTTATTTCAATTTCTTGAACATATATAGTACGATAATTTCATTTTTTAGTTTATATTGTAATGTTATTTTTCAGGCATTTATTTAAGCAGATTTATTTTTCATTCTACTGGTCTGTTAAAGCTACCTTAGATATTAGAAATACGCAATAAGATAGAAAAGAAAGTTTCCATGATTTAAGCTGCTGATAAAGTTTTAATTTACACCGATGTATAACTACGATTTTCCTCGACAATGGGCGACTCAGGGAGCAATATTGAATTCCTTGATATTGTCTCCCTTTCTAGAATTGCACATCTTTCGAGAACTGAACAATAGCAACAAGTAAAATGTTATATAATTTAGTATATCAAAAACCGTCATTTATTCAAATTTACAAAGATGATATTTAATGTAAGAAATACATTCCTCCATATATGATTATTACTCAATTTTACAAGACTGATACGAGCAATATAATAATGAACATTTTGTGTTGATATGCCATAAAATAAAAAAAGATAATTAAATAAAGTAGCATGCTCTATACGATACAATAGTCCCCTTTTATATCATTTGATCCATTTCCTGTCCTTTTACTACAGGGTACATCATGTAGAGGTTTACTACCTATGAACTGTATTACTGTTATTAATGTATGTTACCAGATGTGAAACATGTCAAATAGCAATTTATAATTATCAAAGGAATACTACTGAAAGGCATTAATCAAAAATTAAGAGTTAATATTTTTTTTCTTAATTTTTATTATCTTGAATATCAGAGAGACAGAAATCATAAATTTGTTTTATCAGATAGGTCAAAGAAAAGGATGGTCCCCGTGGGTACCGCGGTACATTATTTCGGTAAAATATAGAACTTATTCAACTGGTATAAACTGTTGCATCGTTACTTTATAGTATAAAGACAAAGTCAATGTTTTATGACAATAACATCTAAATCAATCTGCCATGTTTTTTAGGTGTATGCAAATTACTGTGTTTCGTGTTACCACGGTAATGTGGACGACACGGTACCCACGGGGACTAATATACCTATCTGAATGAAGGATAAAGAAAAAAATCAAATATAGATCTATACGTTTTCTACTTTTCTATAAGACAAATTTAACCAATTGTCGGGATTTTTAATTGTTGTTATGTTGTTTTTTACTACGTGTATTAGATATCTAGTATTATAGGAAATATTTATCGTCTTTTATGTATGTTTGACATGAAGAGTCATTTATTTTGTAAGAAAGCAACAGACTGCGCCATGGATTGTCTTGAAACTGGGCTAAATGACGTTTCGTTCAAGCAACAAGCAAGAACGAACTGATACTGTCAGGCAAATGGACGTCATGGACGTCTGTACGAAAAGCGCGTCATAAATGTGACGTCACATATCTCGCATGATTTAAAGTCACTAAATCAGATCCATTATTATTAGTGAAGTTCAAAGATTTTGGATAGCTATTATTAACATCTTATTATATAAGTAGATTAAAGTCTTGATTTTTAATCATTTGGATTTACATTGTGACGCTCTGTGTACGAATGACGTTATGTGTTTAACACCCAGTTGAATACTACACTGATTGTACACAAGTTTGTTTTCTACAAATACATTTGAGCCGTGTCACGACAAACCAACATAGTGGGTTTGCGACCAGCATGATCCAGACCAGCCTGCGCATCCGCGCAGTCTGATCAGTATCCATGCTGTTCGCTATCAGTTTGTCTACTTGTAATAGAGTTGGTAAGCGAACAGCATGGATCCTGATCAGACTGCGCGGATGAGCAGGCTGGTCTGGATCCATGCTGGTCGCAAACGCACTATGTTGGTTTTGTCGTGACACGGCTCAAATACATTTATAATGATAACTGTTGCTTCAGTAAATTGTTAGTTTCTAGTGTTTGTTATTATTATAGTGTTTTGTTGTTCTGACTGGTTTGTATTTTTGCGTGTGAATGACGTAACATGGTCTGTTCCCACCAGATTTGTTACTGACGTCACGTTAAACTAAACAAACTTGGCAAAACACGTGTTTTACATATTATTGTATAATTAATTATTCAAGAGAGTTTAGTAGAATGATTTCTTGTTTAATTATTATTGTTTAATTATTATTGTAATATTCTTAGATTCATGCCAAAAGCTTTCGAGACCTAGGTAATTAACTTTAAATATGAATGACGTAACGCATCTCCTCCAATCAGATGCGATGCTGACTGTATT